AATATAAACAACTGTTTTGGGACATAATAAAGGGCATCATTATAATGCTGCAATTCAATATTAGCTGTAATGGTTAAAGGACTGTGCTGTTTTATCATTGGCCCACCTACCGCACTGTGATTGATCCAGTCTGTTTCAGACCAGAGTTTTGAGCCTTACCAGGCTGACTTACCTCTCTTTTAAGTCAATCTGGCTGGCCAGGCCAGTCTTTTAGCAAATGGATTTTTTAATGTGTCTTCCTTTTTTCAAAATTTTCACCAGCTCTCAGAAGCTGGGTTTGTTTTCATGTAGTCTCTGTACCTTAAACTGATGGCAAGCATTTTCATTAAGCTTGACACAAAGCAGATCTTGTTTGGTCAGTTTAATGCATGTGCCAACACAGACTGACCTTAACAACCAAGCAGGAGTCCTTTGCTTCTAGATTTACTTAACCTTTCTAATGGTAATACTGCACAAAATACGTATTACCATCCCCCCAAAGACGTACTTCAATTTACTGCAGTTTGTGTGTAATCTCCAGGGACAGTCAAGCTTTGATTTGAAGAGTGACATATTATACTATTGTGTTTGTATGTGTGCATGTGTGTTTGTAGAGAACTGAAGACAGAAGGGAGCTTATGAGGTATTGACTAGAGATTAAAGAGGAATTGGAGAAAGCAGAACACAAGAAGGCACAGAGAACCAGATGAGAGAAAGACTCTTTTTCTTAGTATTCAAATCTTTTTTTAATGCTGCTAAAGATTATTGCGTTTTCATCTTTGCAACAGAGGTGGACCTTATGTTACTTGAGTTGCTATATGTGCTGATACAAGTTTGAACCATGTATACAGAGGGATAGCAAAAGATGTTCTATTTTTTGTGCCATTGCATGCACAACACATTGTTACTTGATAGTGATGTACTGGCATAGTTATTTTTGTATCCTCTCACAGAGGTATAAAATTTGCATCTAGTCTTTCTTTGGAAAACAAAAATATTTTATACATTTAAGAGCAGTAACAATGAAAATAAATATGTCTGTTTTCTAAAGGGAGGAGTGGATACGTGTGTTTCAGTGTTTAGCAGTTGTAAAAGTTAATGATGGCGAAAAAAATAGTTTCTTTTTATGTTTCACTCTTATCGTCGCTGTTCACACATCAGTGGTGCTGAAAACGAACAGTCTGCAGCAGCTTCTTTTAATTGTTATTACTGTTATTCAGGTCAAATATGAAAGCTAATTATTATTGATAAAACCAAATGCTTTATAAAATATGAAAGTAAAGACAAGTGAAAAATATCAGCTGTGGGAACAGAAGCACTTTTATGGACTGAAGGACCTTAGATCATATCTTCAAAAACATTTTAATCACTGTGACAAAGATGCCAAGACTCATTCTAGCTGCTCAAATTACAAATGTATTATGGTTTGGTGTGAGAGAAAGTATTTTATGTAGGTTCTTCTCTAGATCATCTTCTAGAAGAATGTTTCATAAAATAAAAATAAAACTACAGTATGTGCAACTCTAAGCATCCTTTTCAATGGACATTGCAGTGTCTTCATTCAGAGACTTCTCTGGATCAGCTGACAGACCACTATAGGAGATCCTTCCTGGTTCAACCAACAGCATCTACAACAACTTGTGTGTGTACAAAGTTGTCTTAGATGTTGTAGAAATCGTATAAGACAGAAGGATTCAATATTTCCCTGGGATCAAAAACATATTTTTGAGTGGAGTTAAATTAATTAAACACTTAGTGGGAAGCCTGCCTCTCCATTGTAAGCATTTAGCATGAGTTCCAGAAAGGCTGGGCTAGGCTGAGATTTGGCATGGTTGTTATTTTGATGTGCAGATTTTATATTGTGTTTGGGTTGCAAATGGATCTGGTAACCATGAGTAACACTAATCTTAATGAAAATAGTGGATAGCATTAGCTTTCACTATTTTTCTATTTCTGTTTTTTGTTTAGCAATTTAACATTAGCTAACATAATATTTTTAGAATGGTCTGTGAAGTTTTCTAGCAGGGTCTATCACTGAATAATATGCAACTACAGAAGAACAACCAACATCTTCTTCAATTCGAGATTGTGAGTAAAGAAAAAAATCTGATGACTTTTAAGAGAGCACTTTTAAGAGAAAAAATAGGAAATGTACACAAAGGAGCAAGGCCAGTTTAGTAGGAGAAATTGATAACTGGTTCATTCCTTAATTCTTGCACTCCTTGGTGTGTTGCATGTAGGGACAGGACTGCAAAGAGCAGCAAAGATTGACTAGAGCACAACCAATTCTGCTGTTCGGCTTTGCTGTTAGAGTAAGAAGACTCTCAAGAGAGGTCTGTCACTAATATGGTGCAGTGTTGACAGCTGTTTGAGGAAGCAAAGCTTTTACAGAGCCAAAACTCTACTATTCCTTCCATTCCCTTGATCATTCTGGGTTTACTCTGTTTTTTAGTGTTTGAATTTTTCTCTTCACACTTTTTTTTATGGAATTAGAGGCAAACCCGAAGACTATCTACAATGCTTTATGGATATATTTTATAGCACATTTAAATAGAGTTATCCACTAGACTTTAAAAACTGTCATTAATCCACAGTCATTCCTTACTCACAGTATGCCCTGCATTTAACATGTTTTAGTTTGCACATGCAATTCAAGCTCTTAGGGTAGTTAATAAAGACTACAAGACAAATCAGAATTTTTATACAGGATGAAGAAGAGAGTATACTGTAAGTATATTATAAAAGCCTTAGAACTGAGGAATAAAGTAAGGCCAGAACTTAAAAATTAAAAAAATATATATTGTAGTTGTTAACTTTAAACTCACTGACTTAAGACTTTCAGGAGTCTGCTGTCTTATTGAATTGTTTCCTTGACAGCTTGTTATTTCACTCTCTGGAACTTCTGCTGGCTCTCCTCCATAAGATCTACCTTAGTTTCTTTCTATCACTGTCATATTACTAAATCATGTGTAGCTTATCATATTATCTAGATGAATGTCTACTTGTATACATCTACGACATATGCAATATATACTTGCATTGCTTTTGATTATGACCTTTGCATAGTTCATTATTATTGTTTCTCCATTCAATTGTGCAGTGATTCAACAGTGCAACGTCTAAGACTTATTTACATGTTGTTCTGCTGCGTTTTGTTTGTCCTCCCTTTTGTATTTATATTTTCTGCTTTAAAGTAAGCAGCAGGAATGCCAACCGGTTGTCTGCTGCATTCTAATGTTTAAGCTTCTTCTAACCTGTCAAACTTTATAGATGGGGTCTAATTTTCAGAGATTGGCTGCATTAAAATTCTCTCATGTCTCCAAACATAGGTTTCATTGCTGCTAATACGTAATACATCAGCTTAAACACATAAGACATCAGCTCCTCGTGTGTTTTTCAAATAACTCCAAAAAACCTAAACTTTCTGTTTAAGAGAAAAATGATTGACAGGGCAAGAGTGGCATAGGATCCAGGAGTTTTTCCTGTAACCAGAGTGTCCCAGTTGAAAGCCCAGCTCTGTCTATCTCAGCTGATGTGTCCTTTGGCAAGATGCACCCAAATTGCCACTAGCATGAGGGTTGTCATAAACTGGTGACACTTTTTTTTTCTGTGAGTTTGCCTAAGGGCTATGTGGCAATAGTGTAGCTTGCTACTGTTAATGCTTTAATGACCGAATGTAGTGTAACCACCGTTGTATTCAAACTTAGTGTGTAGGAACTGTTGTTCTGCAAGTTTTAGTTACATCTGGGTGATTAGTGGGCCTTTGCAGCTCTTGGTGGCTGCTTAGGAGGGGATGCAATAGTTTTATGATAATTTAATTGTTCTTCTCTGTATGACATAATGCTTCTGTCATAAAAAGCTTTTTGTACATCTTTTCCTTGGGTTACATTAACTGTGCTGGATAGTCAGACATTGCAGAACACAAAACTTAAACAGAAAATATAAATTTTAAAGGCAAGAGAGAAATATTTTCTGTATGTTATTAGTTAAAGTACTATATATTTATATGTGTGTGTATATATACATATACACTATACAGAAGCTGTCTACAAGAAAGGACAATTCAGATTGTACTTTGCATGTAATATCTATCTGTAATATTTCATATCTTCTAAAAGTCTTTTGTGGAGAGGGTGATCTCTTCCTCCATTATATGCTGGGGTAACAGCACCAGAGAAAACTACTTAAAAAAGCTCTACAAGCTAATAAACAAGTCCGGCTCTGTTCTGGGAAGTCCTCTAGAAACTCTGGAGATTATTTCACAAAGAAGAATTCTTCATAAAGGAAGGAAACATTATGGACAACAGTGAAAATCCTCTTCAGAAGATTATAAAACAACAATTTTAAATAAATGTTATTTGTCCGAGATTCTTTTAGTCAGGTCAGAGAGACAATACTAGAGATTTGTACTTATCAAACTAAGCTACTTTCTTCTGACAAGATAACAGGATTTCATTATGCAAATCTTTAACTACACTAAGGGTTTTCTGCATCACACTTGTTATGCTGATCTATTTCAACCTTCAGGTTAATTGACAAAAACGGATTATATTTTGCTTGGTGACATTCTGTTCTGTTTCTTTTCATCACTTTTCCTGATGCTTTAGACCCTGCCGTTGATCAGCACTGGTAAAAGCTGCAACATGATCTGCAGCACACATCAACCCATTAACATGTTCTTTTTATGAATTAGGCAAAGAGCATTATAATTATATTAGCAGCAGTTGTCACCATTGGGCCCATTTACTGCATTAGGTACATACAATAATTTCTACTGGGATCAGTTGGATTGATGAAGTAATTGCTTACTTTTCCTTCTGCGTGATCACATTGCATCAGCTGCGCTGATACCTGTCTAATGTGCTTACAAGCTCAGTTATTGTTGTCCTTTATCATGTTGATCTGACGACATAAACAGCATTATATAGCTGCTTATGAATTAACCAAAGCCTCTCTCTCTGTCTCTCTGTTCATCATTTGTAATGCCATATCTTGTTTTGACCTTAACCTTCCTCTTGCACGTGGTTCGAGCACGTGTCTATGCTGGTGATCCTGTTAAACTGTGTGACCCTGGGGATGTTTCAGCCTTGCGAGGATGTTAGCTGCCTGTCAGAGTGGTGTCGTATCTTGCAGGTGAGTGTCTTACTCCATTAGATGGGCTAACGTAAAGATTCTAAATTCTGTTTTTCTAAATGTGATGCTGTGTTAGAATGCTCCCTTTGGGAAACTTTCACCATGTTCTTTTACATTCTCAGTTAAAAGCTTACACATTTTGTCATATTGCTATTGCCCTTTTTCCACTGGGTATTATCTGGCTTGTGGCACTTAGCCGTTTTGTAATAGCGTTTTCATGATTTTTTTTTTTTATTCTTCCTGCACAAAGGGTGGCATTTTTAGTCCTACTCTAGATCTGATTGGAAGCAGTGCTTACTGAGGCTAAAGTAGCATGTACGGAACGCTGTTTATGTATTGGCCCAAAGTGTTTAGTCAAGCAGCAGTTCGATAGAGAGAAAATCAAATGAAGGAAAATGACAATCCACATATGTTACTGCAAAGCACAGTGCATGAAATAGCAAAAAAAAAAAATATATATATATATATATTTTTTAAAAAGCGCCTGCCTTAACAGGTCATTAGTTTTCTTAAAGTTAAAGAGTATCCCTTTACTATCTATAAATTATAAATCATGCCTAAGGACAGGCAGAAAAAAGAACACATCAGCTTTCTAAATTCCACACTCTAATTTTATAGATCGCAACCTTTCAACAACATCAGGATAGAGATAATAACTAAATGTAAAATCTTGACAGTTCTAACTTGTTATAATTTTTCATTTTTCATATTAGCTGCATTTGTTTAATGTTATGACTTTGATTTCACAAATATATCTTTGAAGTGAATAATTGAATTACATATTTTCTGCTTGTCTAATTGACATTTTATTCATACACACTTGTTTTGGAGAAGCACTGATTCATTGCACATCGAGATAGACTCATTATCCTCAAATAGAGAAATTCTCACAGCTGTACGAGACGTCTTACTAAATGAGACACAACCATAACCAATCATGGTGAGGCTGAACATTTCATTGCCAGAATTAACTAACTAATTTATTCAATAGATTCGTTTTTGTTATCAACACCCTGTTCTCATTGTATTTTGCTTTTATAAAATAAACATGCCTGTGCTATAGAAGAGGTTACTTTTAATGTATTTATCTTTTTTTCAATTAGGTACTGGATGATTGCATCTTCGCTTTCTTTGCGGTGGAGATGGTCATAAAGATGGTGGCTCTTGGAATTTTTGGCCCCAATTGTTACCTCGGCGACAAATGGAACCAGCTCGACTTCGTCATTGTTATGGCAGGGTCTGTATTCCATTGATGTCATTATTATAAACCTAAGTATAAATTAATTAAATTCACACATTTGCAACACAATTGGTATGATGATCTGTTTTAGGAAATAAATAATTTTTTTTTTTACCTGTGCTTTTAGTCCTTATTTTAAAGGTTTGCATCTGAGTTGTCATATGCAGAGTTGGGATTAAATGTTACTCTGATATGACAGAAATCAAGCAAGATATTCAGATGCAGATTCAGTGTATAAATTTGGATGATGGATAAATGTTTTTCAAGTTCATGTAATGTTTTTGTAGAATAAAGCATGATACCTTTCTTTTCATCAAATAAACATTCCTATTTCCTTTTCTATTCTTTCTTATGTACAAACAGGAAGGAATCAGACATAAGTCTCCTATGAAGCATTTTGCAGAAAGTTAAACATCACATGCAGAAAGAATCAATCTTAACTAAAATAATAATAATAAAAATAATAAAACAAACCATTTTAATAAGTGTGCACACCCTCAAACTTATACATTCTTGAACCTCCTCTTGATTCAATTCCAGTTGTCAGTGTTACAGGACCAATGTATAAGTAAGAAGAAAATACAAATACATTAGATAGCATTGTATACGATGGCAGAAGAGAAAGTTATTAATTATTGGAGATAAAATGGAACAACAGTGACCACTTGTTTTTCCATATTTGATGAGATAAATAAATATTAAACTTCACTTGTTTGGGACGTGACCAACAAACTGAGAACATTACTGAAAGAGCTGCAGGTATTTCTGCTTAGTGGCTGTTTTTATATGTGGCAGAAACCTGTGTTCTGAAGATGAAGAGGGATTTTATTTGAACATAGGTCAAAGCATGTTTCAAAGTCAGCAAAATAACAACATCACCTGTAAAGAATAAAAGCTATAGTTCAAAACTAAATCCGACAGATATCCATTAAGTCAACTGATGTGAGTTGTGGTCAAAAGTTGTTCCCTGAATTTGATATATTTTGAAGCTTTTCAAAGGTAGATTAGGGAAAATATTACCAAGACAAGATGATAGAAACTCACATTTACATAACCAAGAACAAATAATTCCTGATTTGAATAAAATGGTTGTTCAGACAGGATGCTGTATTTTCATTGTTTTTAACCGTTTACCTCTAACTGATTTGGGGGGAAAAAAACACACAGGTGTGACATATCAGTCATTATGATGGACGCAGTGTTGAAGGAGACTTAAAAAATGGGAAATTTGACAAAGACAATAATTTGTGAATTTGTTCTAAAAAGAGTGAGCCTGATTAAGAGCATGCATTCGTTATGAATAAAGAAATATTTTATTGTTATTATATATTGTTATTTATCAGAATTTACCCTTTTTATGAATTGGCATTTATATTATCATCTTTGCCAGTGATCTTGACAGCATATGGGAGAGACAACAAGAGCAGAGCTGTAAAGGGTATTATAGGCTACTGTAAAAGCAGATTTTACAGCTTGAGGTTTGCCCCCATTAAGGCTTTATATCTACCAGGGCAAATGGCATTTATAAACTGTGCAATTGCTAAACACTGGGATTCTTCTATTTCCAAGTAGCTGGTGAACGGTAAGGGCAGGTCAAGCTCCAAATTCCCAGATTTTCAATCAACAACCTTTCTTTATGTTGTTTTTGAGTACATGTATCTTGTTGGTTCTTTAATGCTCAATTTTTCTTTTTTGTTATGACAATTAAAACTTTGTTCTGTGTATACTGCATCTTTATTATCAGGGTGATGGAGTATTCCCTGGATGGCCACAATGCCAGTCTGTCAGCAATCCGTACTGTTCGAGTACTCAGGCCACTGCGGGCTATCAACAGAGTACCAAGTAAGTCCAATAGATTAATTGAATTACATGTAACTCTTTGAACTAATGCTA